TATAAAGAAAAAGATTACAGAACTTTGAAGTGTTGCTTTACACTAACCACAACACCAGTTTTGTAACAAATGAAGTCTGAATCCAAAAGAAAAGATTCCACCTTATAGGAGGTGACAGTGTTTAGAAGAACAACTTTTCTACAAAATTAATCTTAATCAAACAGAATGCTGTTATTAAATAAGTAGCCAAAAACACAGTTTAAAGAGTAAAAGATTCTATTTTTAAGCCCAGTTTGCAAGACAAGGACATTTAAACCTCCCCTTTGAGTTCATCAACAGCCTACCTACATACATGCTATAGATCTAACGGTCAGAGTGGTTAAGGTTGGAGGGGACCTCTAGAGTTCATCTAGTCCAACCTCCCTGCACAAACAGGGACACCTAGAGCATGTGGCATGGGGTGGCATCCAGGAGGGTTTTGAAGATCTCCAGAGCAGGAGACTCCAGAGCCTCTCTGGGCAGCCTGTTCCAGGGCTGTCACCCTCACAGGAAAGAAGTTCTTCCTCATATGGAGGTGGAAATTCCCACGTTTCAACTCACACCCGTTGCCCCTCATCCTGCCACCAGCCGCCATGGAGAAGAGCCTGGCCCCATGCTCCTTACAATCACCTCTCAGGTACGTGACCATGTTGATCAAATCTCCGCTTGGCCTTCTCTTCTCCAGGCTAAACAGGCCCAGTAGCCATAGAAAGGATCAATGAACTTGTGTGTTCTGTAAATCTGACTGTTAAAATTGAACTTCAGAAGTCTATCCATTAACCCTAAATCTTTTGGTGAGAAAATAATTAAAATGAATGCATTGCTTGCACAAACTTGCATAGGACTTTGACAGTGGAGATAATAGACTGACACCCAACAAAAAACCCTCACCAAGTTCTTTACCAGGAGATTTGTCTGAGCAAGCAGAGTAACTGAAGAAAGTCTAAAGTAATGAAGAATAAATTACTTTCAGACTCTTCAAGTAAATCACAGGCAGCCAGGCAAGTAGCAGTCCCAGCTGCAGAATTCACTAACATGCGTACACACAAATATATATGCAAAAATCATATACATGCATACATGTATTTTATGCATGCATACATATGCAACATAAGATAACCTGCTGTGTATCTACTTGGAAATAGACAATAAAGTGCAATTTAGGAAATTTCTGTTCTTTTGTGGATTACAGGGCTTTCATGGAATGACAAATAGATACTTAAAAAGTAAATGCCAATATTTAGCACAATCACCAAGGCCATCTTATAAACTACAATATCCTAACACTAGGTAGTTAAAAGTGCATAACTGTCAAGCTAGCAGTAGGTGTAAAACTTCTTCATTAACTTCTGTCATTAATCCTTCATGTACAGCAAAGCTAACATTGCAGGTCCTGCAAAGCGGTGCTCCTGTGACCCAAGAGGCTTATGCTGGACTTCCTACTGCCCTCATGACATACCTCTCTCCTCTCTTTAAGGTCTTAAAGAACCCATACAAAAGCATTCTCAATTTGCATTCAAACAAAAAAATTCTTACACTGCTGTATAAAATCTAATGAGTATACCATGCAAATATGTTAGGTATTTATGAATGCAACTGCTCTCAAAGATGAGTAGAAACAAAGACAGTGAATGCATAAAAATGTTGCACGCTTATAAACTCTAAGTAAAGCTAAAGTTTTCTTATACCTATTATTAAACTCTTGGATTCCAGGATTTGCACTCAAAAGAAAAAAAAAAAGTGTGTTGACGCAGGTTGAGGGAGACAGGACTCAAATGAAATATCCAAATAAAATCTTTTGGGGAGCTTGGGAAAAAAAAAAAAAGTTGCTTGGGAAGATGTTATATTAAGCTGTTGAATAAAGTAAGCAGCTATAATAATGCCAGGTTTAGGTTGAACGACAGATGATTAGACACCAGAGCAGTGACTGACAGGAAATAGGTTAGTCACCATATACTACAGATGCTTACAAAGTTTCCAGCACAGCATTTTTCCCCAGAATAAAATGACAGCTCGAAGCTCAACTTTTAATTTCTAAATACCTGTGTAAATTTTGACAAATTTTCCATTTTTTCCTTCCTCTTGAAGGAAGGTTTTCAAATTTTCAGAATGATTTTACCTGAAAGCTTTGGGAAAGCAATATTGCTATGCAGCACCTGTTTAAACAAAACATGTGGAGTTACCCAACCCATCTGGGGAATGGACATGTGGGAATCTGTGTTTCATGAAAGATTCCAAGTCTTCAGGTTTGTATTCCAATTGAGAATTTATAAAGAAGAAAGTTGAAGCTTCAGAAATCCTTGTCCAGCTCTTCTAGACACAAAGATAGGATTTTTTTTATTCAGCTAAAGTAAACAGCTGCATTGGAAAAGCTTTCAGTGATCCTGTAATATTCCTGCTCAAAACCAGCAATACACGAACTAGCTGATATTTCTGAAAATAAAAGGATATAATCAAGTCTATATTTTTTTTAATAAAATGTTTTATCATCTTTGTTCTCCTCATCATGGACATGCTTTGAGCATGTTTAAGAATGTCAGACAAAAGAACAGCCCCTAACTTCAAAAATAAAAGCCACAGTCTTCACCATGTATTCTTAGGAGCTCTTTCTACCTTCTTCCTCAAAGATCCAGGCAAACAAGGACTAGTCAGAACCCGGACTACTATTTTTGAGAACCTCTAACCAGCATTGTCATACAAACATCCTGGTATGTACTTGCCTATTTACCAAAAAATTTCACTCTAGAGACCACATGAGCCATTTTAGAGGCTCATGGCACAGTAAATCATGAAAGGCAGAGTAAATTAGTGGTTAGTTAGAGATGCAGACTCATATTCTACCACTACAAGGCTCAGTCCCACTCTACCCTACTTTCAGTGATGAGTTCCCCATTCCCTACTTCTGCCAGCACTAACATTTTTGCAAGTGGAGAGTCAGATCAAAGATCTAACCTAGCTAAAGAGTAACCTTCAAAAATGTAATAGTTTGTCTTTCAGACAGTGTATTTACCTCATCCAGCTGACCATATACCTACATAAATACTAGTGTCAGTACAAAGGAAAGCATGAAAACTAGCAGTAGGGGATAGAGAAGGAGAAGTAATGTCTGTGAGGTTATAGTGTCCATGAAGTTATACCCTAAGTAAACATAAGATTTTAAATGAGTCATAACAGAAATGCTCCTCCTTATCACACAAGCCTAACACTTGCATCTGCCTTAATGCAACACTGCTCCAGGCTCCAACAGCCTGGAAACTGCCCCTTCTCAATATCTTGAAGATCACTCAAACCACACAAGTCTGCCACCATCAACAAAGGGGTTCTCACTGCCCACTCCAGAATATAGAGAGTAGGAACTACGGAAGAGCATGTGTCCTATAAATCCAAAAGAGTGCTGTGGCAAGATATACAGGAGCGATATACATACATAGAGCATCTGCTCTTGCTCCCAAAAGCCAGGCCACAGGCATCACTCCTTGCCTCCTCCAGAATGCCAGGCTGAAGCTCCCGTGGACAGAGTTTGCCCTCTGCTACAGTTACCCCTCCTGGAAGCCCTCTCCTCATCTCTTGAGGCAGAGCTCTTCCTCAATCCATGAAAAATGAAGGTATAAGACTCATCTGACCCACAGGTCAAGCACTTCACAAGCACAGGTTACAGAATTAAAATTCTATTCTTGAAAAATTGGAGAAGAGAATCTAAGTTACTTTACACAATGTAATCCAATGGCATTTCATTATTTGACCTACAGTGTCACTTAAGACCTTATGAGACAACAGATGGACACATATGGATATTGCAGAAGCACCCTCACCACAGAGTCCTCTACGTAAATTAGTAAAGCAAAGAAGAAAACATAAAAGCAAACTTGGATACACAATACTGCAGGAAGTAATAGCAAAGACAAGACCAGAAACCTGTATCTTGGATCTCCTGTATCTTGGGATACATGCTACAAATTGATCCATGATGCCTTCCATTGTCAGTAAAATGAATTTTAATAAATAATTCTTTATGTGAGAGACTTACCTTTAGGAAGCATATGTGTTACAACTAATGTAGAGCACATCCATAAGATACTTTTTATATTTAACAACATCTTGACCTACAGATAAAGAAAAAATGAGTTAGTCAAAGGCATTCCACCATGGCCTTGTCAAGTGCTATAACTCACTCAATAACTGTCATTGATATTAGAATAAACTCATGATGCTTTCCATCTGCAAACATGCTGCCCAAGGATTCCTGTTTTCAAGACTTCCCCACACATTTTATGACGGAGATTTGTTATAATGACAATTGGGACATATTTAACACAGATTCATAGATGAATTTCAGATTACCAATTCTCAAGCGATATTCAGACTTGTCAATCCCCTTTGTGTGTGCTCCTCACCTCCTTCTGAGGTTGCTGTGCTCCAATTGAAAAGTGTGTTCATAATAGCATATTGTAATTTTTATTCCACTTCCTAGCTAATGCATTGAACATGAGCTAATACGGAAATTTAAGTGGTGCACTAAAAAAGCATAACAATTCCCATAAATGTCAGCCATTATAATGGCTTCATAATGGTCTCTCTTCCACGGACGATATATTCATCAATTATAAGAAATAGCTTTCAACAACAGTTTGTGAAACACTGCTGTTGAAACGGTTTTATCACAAAAACTCCAGATTTCCCAATACTGCTCTCAAAATATACTACCTGCGCTCTTTGCTTCAGCTAGTAACCCAACCCAACATTTTTCTTCTCAATCCCAGACATATTACAGTTTAACTGCTATTGGGAATCTTGAAACTGAGATTTACTAGATATACAGCTATATTACAACTATAAAACTTGTATTACATATTTTAGAATTTTACACATGAGCATTTTAATGCTTAATATTTCCACATCATGTTTTAGGGCTAAAACAATAACTAATACAACCACAAAACTTCACAGATTATATTGAACATGACAGCCAAACTAATGCATACAAAGTAACAAACTCAGAAAACTACTGGTCATACATTCAAACTCAAGGAAGTTCTCTACACATCCTTCAGCTATAGCCCAAACTTCTCAAGAGTCTATGCAAATTTGGGTCCACCCTGTAATAGCTAAATGGCTCAGAAAGGAGGCAAAATATCTCAAACCAAGCCTTTACAATGAGGCAATCTCTAACACGAAAGCATCCCAGCTCTAACATAACAGCGTAACAGTTCAGAATTCCCATCCAAAAGTACTGGAAACCCAAGAGTGCTTCATTCCCCTGTATGATGATGGCCAGAGTTGGCTAGCTACACTGTATGCTGCAATCTGTTCCCAGGGCGTGTGGGGAAAGAGCCCAGCTGCTTTGCATGCAGCTGACCGCCCTTTGCCAAAGATGCCCTATCTTTGCTTCAGCCATTCAAGTGTCCTGAGATTATGATGTGATATCACTTCTTTTGCAACTCCAGCTCCATGGAATTTGCACTTTTTATGACCAAATCCTAAACAAGAACTGATATCTTAGACTTAATTCGTGTTGAGTCCTAGTCTCCTCTAACATTTTTGAAGACTAACACATATCCTCCAACAACACCCAAACGGTCTTTCATCTTTCCCCTACTTATACAAGCATGGCTGAACACGGATAAAACAAAACCATCCATTTAATAAGTAACTTTAAAAATCTAGACAGTGATTGTAGTCCTCAGAAATTTATCAGGGAAGGCAGTCAGGAGTGGAAAGGTTACACAAAAAGAGCTGCAGACATCAAGAGTTCATCTGAAAGCAGTAGACCACTTTTCAAATAGAGCAGTTGTGTTTGCTTAGATACTCATGAAATGACCACAATTATTACATGACATCTCAGGAAATAAGAGGTCAGTTTAAGTCTATGCATGTGCACAAACTAGAAGGCACTTCAACCAGCCCTCATATCCTGAGACCACTGTGAAACATAAGGCACAGAAATTACTACAAACTAGCTCCTCCACTCTAAAAAGGCACAAAATAGAAGTGCTGCAGAATTTGACACCCTCAAACACAGCAAATAGTTGACCTGCCTTCAAGATAGTGCTAAAGTTCTGGCCTTGATGAGACCGCTGTGGCTCCCGACCTTCTTTTGAAATATTCTGTCCATGTGTTTCCTATGTGTCACCCATTGGCTCATCAACAAACAAAATAGTGAAGAATAAATTGTTTACAAGCTTAGCTTTTCATATTTTCCCATACTCTTTATCTCCCTCCTCCCCCAGAAGGCAACCTTGGTTTCTCATACAACAAACAAAAGAAGTTCACAGAGAAAAAGAATAAAGGATTTGTTTTTCCTTGAAGATGGGCATGCTGCACTTAAACAGCACAATTTACATGTTGCTCTACACCTTCCATTCCACGGCATTTCCTTTGGGGGGAAGAAAGCCAACAGGCTTTCAAGTCAAACAGGGACAGGAAGGCTAAGGAAACATCAGTAGTCTCTTTGGAGGCCTCAGATTAATAGTTTCTAATGGACAATCCTGAAGGGCAAGGATTATTTCGTGACCTTTTACTTTTCACCCTACTCACGAGAGTGGCAAAAGTGAGTGTCAGTCGGTGTGAAAATGCTTTCACCTAACTGGTGTTTGGCATAAATGCTCTCTTGAGCAAGCTGTGATAATCCAGGATGTATCCTTTAATTGTTGAAAGTTTCAAAAATTTTTAAGACACCTCAGATTGTAGAGAGGCACTCTTGAACATAAGAGAGCAGCCTGCTCAGAACTACCACACAACAGGACTGGTGAGCCAAGGCTCTGGTGCAGGCTCTGACAAGCAGTACCTACATACTCACCACACACCGATGGGTAGTCCTTCACACTCCTAGATGGTGCAACTAGTTCCACACCTAGGTAATTCCACCAATGCTACTGCATACAAGGGCTATGAGAACTAGCAGCGCCAGTTGCATTGAAGCTCAAGGCAGGACCTCATCTTCCCATTCCTTTACAGCTTGCGCACACACACACACACACACAGAGCGTGTCAGACACCATATCAGTGACTGAACTCCAAATACAATTTGAGGAACCATATGAAGAAGTCAGCAGCAGCTTGCAGGCACTAAACATGAAAAAATGCAATGGCAGCCCATGAAAACAGAAGGACAATTGAATAATCTGCAAGGCATCCTATGAGTGATGAAGCCTAGCTGATATCAGCCATCGGTACAGAACAGAGTATCTATGGCTTCTTTTTCTACACCTTCTCTCCCTGGAGGTGCTTTTTAAAGTGATGAAAGATGTTGCTTCAATCCTCACCCCTTAAGTCCATGGGTATGACTCCCAGGCAACACTCAAGCATGAGGGTTTTGACACCCAGGTCCTCAGTGGGATCCAGCTAAGCTGCAGGTTACAGAGCGCTGTTCCACTACAGCAGCCAGAATGGGCACTACCTAACATGACCCCAAAGGGCAGCCAGTCTAGAGCTGGAAAGCAAAACTCTTCAAATGCAGCATCAGCAATATTCTTTAGGAGTTACTGGCAAGAGTGTTTACTGCTAGTCCCCAGCATCCCAATCAGTGCTGCCCACACTCCCAGGCGACTTTAATTAATCCCAATGTGATTATTCCCATCTCCTCTCCTGGTGCTGACTAACCCAGACTGCAGCTGACACTGCTGCATTGTAGCTTTCTGAAAAATAAATGAAATCCCTGCTCTAGTGCTGGTTTGCATTTCCCATCCCTGCACTCTACAATTTAGAAACCTCTGCTCAGTCCACAGCCAGTAATTAGCCAAAAGTTTTCTAAACACACCTTTTTCCACATCCCCATTTTTTTTTTCTTTTCTCTCCCCACTTGGTGTGACTATGCCTGGAGTAAAAAAAGCCATAACAGTATGGATACCATAAGGAAACCCTGCCAACTCAGG